GATTCTTTTGGCCTTAAGCCAGTAGTGCTCACAGTTTGGCCCTGTGGGCCAGAAGATCAGGGTTCTGGCCCACAGGGCCAAACAGGGCTCACAGTTTGGCCCTGTGGGCCAGGGTTGGTCTATGGGCTGGACTGGGCCTTGTGCCTCTCTCACATGCCAGAATCAGGCCCCGCACCACCCCCACATGGCCTCTGCCTAACTGAAACCTGATCCTGGCTGGGCTAGGATATCATAGCCCCCAGGGCCCAATGCCGGCACACGGGCCAGACAGAAGTAGCATGGGACCCTGGGTTCCAGGGCTAGCCAGACAGAGGCAGCTTGAGGCACTGCAGTATTCCTTCCCGGTTGGGATCAAGCCACCCCTGCCCCACTGGGACCAGGCTCTGGGGCCCTGCACCACTCCCACCTCGCCCCTGTGTGCTAGGATTAGGTCCCAAGACACCATGCTTATCTAACATACAGAGACAAGGCCCTGTTGCTTCTCATAGCACCAGGGGATGGATCTGGCCTGCCCTCTGCCCTCCCAACTTCTTTTCCCTGTAGCCCCTCCCCACCTTCCTACTGTCAAACCCTGTTCTCCCTGAACACATGGAAGGAGCATATTTGAAATAATTGACCTTGAAATAAACATGCTTGTAGTAATTGTCACGTAGTACCTATAGACTTAGTTAATCTAGAATTGATACATTTTACCCTTTTTGAAACTGATATAAGTTTAAAACAGGAGCTCCATAAAAACACTTTTAAATAGCACAGTGTTCTGGGGTGGTACGATACCCCCAAGTGGCCACGTGGCTCCTGCTTCTCTGGCCCCAGGTTGCCCTCCCTTTTCTCTCACTTGCTATACCTTCATGTTCTTCTTTAATTCTGGAAAGGGTGGCGCCCAATGCACCTAGAGCAAGCCTTGTTATTTCTCAAACTAGTCTTTATAAAAGGTGGGCCCACTTGGCCCATACATGCCCCCAGAGCACCTGTTGCCTTATGGGCTTTTCATGGCCTATGACCTCCCCACAGTAGTGCCCATGTCTTGCAGCTTATACCAATTAATTATTTTGGTGGGTGCTTAGTCCTAGTCCTATATCTGACCTCCTCAAGCCTCTATGCTCTTGTTCCGTCTCTGCCCCTCTTGGGCTGTAGGTTCACTGGCCCTCTCTCTGCCCCTCTGATTCACCCTCTACAGTTCCTGCCCCTTTGGGCTGTGGGCTACTTTGCCCTCCATAGTGGCTGTGGGGTCCTGGCTTAGTCTCTGCCTCTCTTTGGGCATGGGCCACCTAGCCCTGTCACTGTCCTCCTCAGGCACTGGGCCTCATGGCCCTAAGCTCCCTCCCCCCACCCTCTTTTTCTCTGTCTGTCTGTCTGTGTGTCAACTGCAGTCAAGCACCTGCCCTCTGGCAGGGCTCAAGACAGTCACCTGCTTCTCAGATACCACTGGGACTTCCCTGATAGTCCTGGCCCAAACTGCTGGTCATAACTAACAAAAGAATATGCTGTCTTGGCTATAACACAAATTCTGCACAGTGCCTTCACCCAAACGACACCTGTTCGGCTGACTCGGAGTCGTATTTCCCTCTAAATCAGTAGCATTCTACTTGCCTGTCCCAGGGTAGCCCATGTGTTTGTCAGGAGCTTTCTTGCCTTTCTCCAGCTCTGGAGCTCCTTCCTCTGCGCTCTGCAGATTCAAATGGATCACCCTGGCTTGGGCATAGGGTCTGTAAGCTGCCCCAGCCCTGCCCATCTCTGTATTCCTGGTGGGCATGCACATGCATGTGGTGCCACTTGTGTCCTGCTCTCAGCAGCCCCTTGCAGGCTGGAATGCTGCCCGCCTGCAAAGGGAAACCCATCATTTCCTGTGGATCCCAATGCTGTCCCAAAGTCATGCAACCCAGGACCGGGACTTCAGGTTCCCATTCTGGGACTGTCCTGCCCAATTAGGGATGGGTGGTCACCCTAGCCTGATGGCTGGTCTCCCTAGCAGCTTATATCTGTGGCTGTAGCAGCACCTTTGTCTACTGCAGGTCTCTGCCCTATTACACAAGTAGCTCTGCAGTAGATACTCGTAGTCTCTCGTACTCTTTAACTTCTGACTGTCTGTTTGCTTGCAGCCAGCTTGTTCGGAGTAGTGCTCCTTCAGCTGGTTGCTGGTGTTCACCTTTCCTCAACATGCAGCCCTCTGCCTATGCTGCAGTGTTTCCTTGCTGTTTACCCCATTACAGCCAGCCCTTATTCAGATGCCTGCTGTCTCTCCTGCATTTTTTCTCCTTAAAGTAACAGGAGCCCTGGGCTCCCTGTTACACCTGTACCTTTACACACTGGTTTTAGGACTGATACAGTTCACATGACAATCCAAAACACACCTTTACAGTTGTACCATCTTCTTTCCCATTACAATTATCACACTATGCTCCTGCATGCCTATGCTCCTGTGTGCCTGTCACCATCTTCTGTAACTGTTACAGTCACGCAAAGGACCACCTCTGCTGCCTCCTCTCCAGTCCCCTCCCAACTCCTCCTCCTGATTCCTTAGTCTTTTTCACTTGTCACATATATATAGAACAAGTTATTTTTAATTTTTAAGGAAAATTTCTCTTGTCCCAAGTCAAATCAACCAAACCAAATCAATTCCAAATCTGTGAGTCATTCAAGAACTATATGTGGCCCTACTACTGGCAATCATCCTCCACCCCTGCCTCAGGCTTCAGATGCTTCCAAATCCTTTAGCAGGCATCCTACATGCAGGCCCAAGCCCAGAGGCTTGGAGGTCAGATGCCCCCGAGTTTCACCTGACCTCAGCCGTATAGCCAAAGGAGCCAGCTAGGGAGGAGTCTCCCATTTCCATAAAGTCAGTGTATAGCCAAGATCTTCCCAGTGGAAGTGAAATTGGAAGGCTAACTATCCCTTACTTTGGTCAAGGTACTACTCACTGCCAAAGAAGTGGCTTTCCTCTGCACCTAGCAGAGCCACCTTTGTGGTCATGGTGATGCATGATGTTAGGCCAAAGCCAAAGGGCTCATGTTTTACCATATAATTAATTGGGGTGGGCCCCAGCAGAGTCAACAGCATTTCAAGTCATGGGGACCCTGTAGCTCAGAACTGGTCAGTAAGTGTGTGTACTCCTGATACCCTCCAAAAAGGAGCCATGTACTAATTAGCCCTGCCTCTCATGACTGGAACCAGGTGTTCTTGTTATGAGTTCTGGGATTCTCCAAAAATTTATATGCAGATGAGGCATAAGGCAACCTGGTCTAGCTCCACCTCATGAAGGACAGGACCTCACCAATCATATGTGCCAGATTGAGGGAGGGGCTGACAGAGGGATTCAGGTTGAACTGTTTGGGGCCCTGTTTGGTGGTGCTTGCCAGAATTTAAGGCTGGTGAAGAAACAGGAATCATTAGACATGGGAAAGAAAGGTACAGCTCACCTGTTGGAATGAAGAGGAATTTGGAAGGTATTCAATGTAGTAGCTCACTATGACTTGAAAGAGTCATTGCTGAGGGGCACTGTACTCGGTATGCACCAGCATACATTTTACTCAGATGGGTTGCACTAACCTATCCTTGTAGTAGGCTCAGGGAAACAACATGTATCTGGGTCTGTGAAGGCAGTTTTCTTTAAGCACTCCCAGGGATAACTGTTCTTTTGGCATGGTTTAGTACCCACCAAGGTGTTGGGGTTTAAAGCCCACTTTATGGAAATGGGTGGCTCCTCCCTAGCTTGCTTCTATGGCCTGTGGCTCAGGGCAGGTGAAACTTGGGGACATCCTACATGTAGGATGCCTGCCAAAAGATGCTGGAAATATCTGAAGCCCCTGGTGGGGGTGGAGGATGTTTGCTGGTTGTAGGGCCACATATGGTTCTAGACTGACTCGTGGATTTGGAGTTGATTTGGCTGATTTGGCTTGAAACACAAAATTTTTTTTAAAAAAAAATGTAGGTGCAGCATGTTTGCCCAGCATAGGCTATGTGTTTATAGTTATGCTCCAAGTTGGGTGCATTTAATCAGCTTCATATTTGATTTTCATTACTAAACACATGGGCTAGGAACAAATGTTATACATAAGCCAGTTAAGTATAGTTGGAGGGAGAAGTCAGACAAGCTTTCAGGCACAAAGTGCTCTTCCTCAGGTCTGGTAACTTTGTGCCTGAAAGCTTGTTTAATATCTCTCCCAACTATACAGTTAGGGTTTTTGGTGTTACCTTTTATTTGATTATCTCCAGGACCATCTTGGCTACAACAACACTCCAGTCTTCCTACTTCTTGATGCAAATGGAAAAGACTTATTCTATCACAAGACAGTGCGACTTTTTTCCTTTTGCTGATTCATTTATTTTTAAATAAAAACTTTTCCCGTTACAGGTAGATTAAAAATTCTGTCACAGTTCCAGCCCTGAGCCTCACTCTTAACCTCACAGAATGGGAAGATTTAGTTTATTTTGCTCTTCACTTCTTTCATACACAGTTAGCTAGTGCTGAAGATTCACTATTTAGGTGTTTGTTTGTGGGTCTATTGCACAATACCTCATTGTTTATCTAAGTCAATCACCATCTTTTTTGCGTGGTCCCTTGCCTTTGTAATAAAAACCGTAGAGATCCACCTTGTAGAGTAACTGAATCTCTGATCTACCTAGCTTTCTGCCTGACTTCAGACTAACATGGCTAACTACCAGTACTTCTGTCTTTTGAAAATCATATATTACACTTTGGATTTCAGTTATATACTGGCAATGTTGATAAGATTAGGCCTCAAAGTATATAGATATATTTAAGGCAATCTTGCTCATCTGTATTTTGCTAAGTAAAATGTACTTAATGTTAAAGGACAGATACATCAACAAAGAGAGAAATTTTAAAAATTGGTAGAAATGATCTAGAATAATACAATTAACATTTTTATGTTTAAGAAACTAGGAACAATATTTAATATTTGAAATTAGCTGTGGAGTGAGATGTTTGGAAACCATTCCTGTTAACTGGTTATATTATTTTCTTTTTCTTTTCACAGTTTGGGTCCTCTGTTTGCTCTGTTTGTGCCATTTTATTGCTCCATTCCAAGAGTGCAAGTGACACAAATATTAGGTCACTTATCCATCACAAACAAAACTTTGGTCTATATACTGGGTTTACAGGTATAGTATGTGCTTAATTTGTTCACTTTTCACTTAATTAATAATTTAGCAGTTACCAGTAATAATTTCATATACTCTTCAACTTCGTAATGTTGTACCTGTAAATATAGCCCTATGGGCTAAAGTGCCACTTAACACATGTGGAGTGTATATTTAAGACAAACACTTCTAAACTCCAAGGGCATTCTCTAACAGAAGCAGAAACTGAGTTAGTATACAAGATCGCTTTTGTTTAATTATCTTCGGGCTCTGTTGTTCTTCAGGAAAAGCTATAAAGTACAAGTTCTGTAATAGGTTATATTGGTTAAACGTTTTACTTTCATGAAATTAGTCATAACTGAGTCACAGAATCAACAAATATCTATCCTGATTTTTCTGATTTCTTTTTTCCTTTTTTCTACTCTTATTTTATTAGTTAATACATTATCACAAGAAGCCATTAAGAATATAGTATTATTTTATAGCAAGATTCTGTTGATGTTTGACATCAGTCAGGATTTGATTGGATTACATCTTGGTAGTGATATTTTATTCTCATATACAGCATTACCATCTGACAATAACACTTTTTAAAATCATGATGTGAAAAACAACATCATATAGGACCACATGGAAAATTAAGGGCCAAATATTATATATGTGGTACATGGAACGAAGTGTCCACCAAAGATTTACGAATGAGTGGGTACTTCTCTCATTTTCCATTGTGAATTATGAAATCCAATGAGAAGATCTGTTAATTTGTGTATATTATATAAGACATTAAATATTGCCAAAATTACCAATGAAAAATAATAAAATGAATAAAGTATGCTTAAATGTATTTTCAAATGACCAGTTTCAGAACACTGACTTATGCCTGCTTCTCTAACAATCTACTCTTCATGCTTTTTGTCACTGAGCACTGGGTGTTTTATCTGTGACCTGTTTGAGCACTTCATTCTCTTTTAATGTCTCTGAATACTTAGCTGTTTCCCTCAAAGCCATCATGGAGCTCATCTCTTTTTATTTAAAAAAAAGACCCCAAATTTTCCCGTCGAGTGTTTTCCCACCTGGATCATCATCTTTCGATTACTTACTCTTCCTCCTTAGTAACAGGTTATTACTATTACTAGTCACTCTATCTCTACTGGATCTTTCCTTGTTTTGCGCAGAACTACTGTCACACACACGTTGTAGGTTACTTGTTTGCCTATGAACTGTGACTCACCTCAGATCATTCCTTCCGCAGACAGATACTGTAGAAAGTGGTCTTATGATTCTGGTCACAAAGATGGAAAAACATAATACGCTTGACAGCTGTCCCACAGATCAACTTCCTTAAACAGTTTATCTGATTTTTTTTTTTCAGGTTATTCTCTGGTCTCAAGGGGATTTATCACCTGTACCTTAACTGAAATTGTGCATCTCTTTCTTGTCTGGTTCAGCTCTTGTAGACTCACTCCACCCCCTCTCTCTTGCTCTCCACATCAAGAGTTTCCCAAGAGAAGGGAAATACATTTTTGTCTTAAGTTATGACATGCTGTCTGGGCCCTCCCCAACTGCACACTTCAGAATTGTTCATGTAACTTGTGCTGCCTCTTGGAAGTCTTTTCCTGCTTTCCCTGACCTGCTGAGCCACTTCCTTTCTTTTAATCCATTTTTTAAAACTTGTTTTTCCTTATAGGATATAGCTGACTTCCTGCAAAGCATATTGTTGTACTTAATAATGCAATATGAAAATAAATTGCATGAATATATTGTAGAAAAGGAATAGCTGTCAGATTTATCATGTTTTTCTATCTCTTGTTGTTCTGGAGTGGGGTCATGGCTAATATGAAACTGAGGTTATGCAAAAATGTGTGGGCCTGATCATTTCCTTCGACGTAGTAGATAGAAATCCTGTACACTAGTAGAGAACAGTAAATCAGCCCTTTGAGTTGAATTACCACCTGTGTAAGAACAATTAGCAGTTTTTAAAATCATAGATTCATATAGATTCATAGAAGTAGGGTCAGAAGGGACCTTGTAGATCTTCCAGTCCGACTCCCTGCCCTGGGCAGGAGAGAAAACGGGGCTCAAATGACTCCAGCCAGGTAGATGTCAAGCCTTCTCTTAAAGACCACCCCAGGTAGGAGCCATCACCACTTCCCTTGGAAGTTGGTTCCAGATCCTAGCCGCCCTGACTGTGAAGTAGTGCCTTTGGATGTCTAGTTTAAACCTACTCTCTAACATTACTTTTATCTTCTAGCTCTTAACCTCTGGTTCCTACATCTGGATTGTAGCCTTAAGTGGACTGGTAAGTGTTACTGTTTCAAAAATCGTGTGATATTTGAAGCACTTTGACATTTTTATGTTGCAGCATATTTAAGCTCTTAAAATAACAGATCATTAAATAACAGCCCATTGTAACAAGAGAAATTCACATTCTAGCCTTGCATGCAAAACTCCTAAGGCACTGGCTAGCAGAAGATAAAGACAGACCGACAACAGTAGTGTCTTCCTTTATGAAGAGATAACCAACTATATGCTGACTAAAATTTGCAGGTTGCTAACATTTAACTCAGTGGGTGTAGTTTTGGATGCACATTACAATGAATATTCTGAATACAGTAGAACATTAATTCTAATATAATGTTTGTTATATACTTTATCCTTTATTCCCACAAGTGTTTTATTCCTGTTGATTTTAACAGATGCTATATTTTCATTTTAAAAGCAGTCTTTGACTTATAATGACACAAATTGATGTTTTCCTGTCCTTGCAGGATGTGTGTAGAATAGGGGTGGGCAAAATATAGCCCATGGGCTGGATTCAGGCTGCCAAGAGATTTTATGCAGCCTCTGGTGGGTCCTTCAGCCCCAGGCTCAGGGGGTAGTCCAGGCCATGGTGTGTGCAGCTGTTCCCACCACCCTGGGCATGCAGCTGGGTTGGCGTGGCACGCCAGCCAAACTCACTTCCTGGTGGCAGCAGCTCCTTCCAGCTGCCATTGCTAGGCCTGGCCACACTGTCTGGGTATATCTGCCCATTCACCTGCCACTCACTGCTGGCGGTGAGCACCAAATAGAGCAAATGGGTGAGGTTTCCTTAGAGACTGGCCCAGGACCCTCACAGGCAAGGCATGCTTGGCTGGGTTCAGACTGCAGGTAGGTGGGGAGTAGAGTCCTGGAGCAGCACAGGCAGGCAGGGCCGGGGCTGGGATCATGGGGCAGTGTGGGGCAGGGCTCAGAGCAGACTGAAGCTCTGCCCTAGGACCTGGCCCCAAGCTGTCACCACCCTACAATCCCAGGCCCAGCCCTGCCTTCCCATCCTGCTCCCAGATGCCACTCCCTGCCCACTTGTGGGCCCCATCCCATCCACCCAACTGAATGTGCCCTGCCTATACAGTGTCCCAGATCACTCTCAATGGAAACCCTGCCCTTCCACCTGCTCCAGTAATCTACCACTGAAGGAGTTTTGGTGACCTTTTGTGAGCAGGGCTGGGTGTTGACCTGGCTTGCAACAGCTCACCAAAACTCCCTAAGTGGCCCTCCAGCCCAAATAATCACCCATCTCTGGTGTGGAACAACCATGGTGCTCTGTAGCAACAGCAAGAAGGTGTGACATTTTTTTACTTTACTCAGTTGAATAAGGTGTGATTTCTGCCTCTCTCTTTTGTGCAGTTTAGTTGAAACATTTGAAATATCAATACGGTTTGCGCTGTTTGAGGTGTGATTTTTTTTTTTTGATCGGCTTTCACTTTTTTCCTCCAAGAAATGAGACACTGAAATGTTTCTGCCAAATTTCTGTGTCCTTGGAATTCGGTTAAGGAGATTACAGCTCCAGATCTCTGGGCCCAAAATCTTAGTTTTGTTAGACTGTCTGGAAGTAGTCAGCTCTCCTGAAGCTAAGCAGTGTTAATTTACAGTAAGCATTCTAAATTATGCCCGTTGCAAATAGGATCAATAATATACCATGAATTATTCCCATATAGAGTTCCTATCTGAACTGTAAAGTGACTTGTAAGCACAGATCTAAAGGCTCTCTAAAGGAGATGTTACTATTGTAGTCCACTACAGTATTTCACCATTTCTGAGGATTATGTCAAAATAAGCTGTGAGCCAGTAGAATGACTGCCAGAAACAAATACAGTAACAGGCAGTGAAATCCATTCAGCAGTTCAATATTTGTATAATATAAATTAAAACCAGGTTACTAAGAAAAATGAATAACTAAATTTCTCTGGCCTGAAAGTCAGCCCAACCCTCAGAGATTGGGTGAAGATCTGTGACTTTCTGTGACTTCCTCCAAATATTTTACTCTTCCTGTTACCAGTCCTTCCTGTTGCACAGGTGTTCAGGGGAGAGGCAACAGAAGCTGAATTTAACCTCTTGTATACAGGATTGTAGGCGTGTCCTGACATTCCGTCAGACATAACTTGTAGGAAAGTTTCTTCCTCAAATGTTTTTAGAAATACATTATGTCAGTATTTACCAAAAATAGCCATTTTTCTCCAAAATTGCACAGTTAAAACATGAAACCTAGTTTACTTATTTGGTTGAAATTCATTTTCAGAAACAAAATATTTTTAGAATATTTTACATGTTCATCTCTCCCTCATTTATAATGACTCCGTAACATTGAGTTGAACATTCATTGCTTTTCAGTAAATGTTTCAAAATATTATTCAGGTTTTACCTGATTTATGGCTAAGAAACAGCTCATTAGTACAAGTTGATATTTTCTAATTCTAGATATTTTTGCAAAAAGTAAGGCATATGCAGAAGATGAACATCATAGCACTGATCACAAGATCAGTGTTGCAATTCAGAAGACAAGTACATGTTATAAATTCCAACCATCTCTTGTGTAGCAGAATCATCATGCCTATAAATATAACTAGTGACTTCCTTTTTCTATATAAATTGGAATGGGGGAACAGTTGAGGGAGTAAGATGTTATTGCTTGTTGAATGTTTTAAAATCTGCATCTACAGTGGTTCATAATGTGCCTTTTAGCAATGGAAAATATAGATACTTTATAATATATATTTTCATATTTCTTCAAGGTATCTAATGTTTCATTTTTTTAACTATTTATTTGTGTATTTGACCACTGGTATTGCTCTTGCTCTTATACAAGTGATAATCATCACTCTGGGTCAGATTTTCCAGTACTGTTAGGCAGAATTGCCCATCCAGAATTCCCATGTGTATTTAGATGTTTACAGTGAACAAGTGAGCAATGTGTTGTTGGTCATTTATAAAGGTAATACATTTGAGTGTCCAGTTGCATTAAATAACACAAATTAGGTATTCATGCTGTGCTGTTCTGAATTCTTCCTTTCATCAAACTTCTGCTCATGTTGAACATCAAAATGTATTCTACCATTTCTGAAGTTTTCCAAACATAATTTCTCCAATTTGTTTTTGTAATGCTTTCTGTTTAAGCTGATTTAGTTCACTTGCGGTTTATATTTGATCTTTAAGGTATAGCTGATGCAGTTAGACTGAGTTGAAGTAGACTACTTTGGTTTGAAGTGGAGCAGAGGAGGATATTGCTTCATAAGTCACTATCCCCTGCTTGTAGATTTATGTGGCAACGCCTAGGCAGAAAGTTGTAAAACCTTCTTCTTTGTTCACTCCTGGTGACTTAAGAGGGACCCATCCATGACAAAAATATATGCATCTACAAATATGTATTGATATAACCTGTCTAGGTGTTGGAACATTTTTTGAAAATTCCTGGTACAGAGTAAAATTGTTCTCAGCTCATTAGCAGTAGAATCAATGTTTATGTACCACATCCTTGTGAAGAGGTTATGTGTTCTACCATAAGAATCATGAAACTTTTGTTTTATCTTTGCCTTTAAGTAGGTCTTTGCTTAACTTGTGTCAGTATGAAACATGTATAAAGGGCAACTTTTTTATGCTGTATGATGCAAAGAAAGTTTTTCTTAATACTGTTGCTTAACATTTACTATTAAAATAACTTTTGCTTACCCCTCTCATATACCAATATAGGTGCCTTAATTTTAGCTATTAAGATAGATTGCTGTGGAAATAATGACATTACTAAATTTAATAGAAGATTCTGTGCAAGCAGTGGATGTAGAAAAATATTGGGGAAAAAACCTACACGATGCTGATTTAAATATTTATTTTTTAATATTTCTTTCATGGATCTAACTTTGATTTAATTTCTTGTACTTGAATTTATCAGGCATACATTACATACGAAAATTCTCATGCTGTGGGTTAGAACTGAAAAAATCCCTTTTTGATCCTCCAGTTTTATATAAAAACAAACTACTTTATGGATAGACAAGCCTAACTATAGTTTCTTTATATTATAAAATTAGGGAACTGCAAGTTACAGAAACTGATGCATCATACACATACTTTCAACTGTACAAAAATAGACTTGGGCTTTGTTATAGTTACTTTCAGACAGTGAATCTGAGGGCGTTGTTGCATGTTACACTGTGAGGTGCACAAATGTTGATTGGCTTAGTACTAGCTTGCAGTCAGACAGGGTTCATTAGGTAAGTATGATATAGTTTATTCAACTTGAGTTACACATCTGCAGGGAGTGGGCACACCTTAATGGTTCAGGAGCTGGGTTATGCAGATCAAGAAATAATCATGCCTGGAGTGGTGTAACTTTGAGCCACATAGTGAGTGCTTTAAATCATTTAATGTGTGGACAATCCAGGGGTTAAAAGCTGCTGTAGCCCCTCAAAATTAATGTATAACAAGGCCCTACAAGACTTTTGAGAGCACTTCATTGCTCAACCGAATACCTTGGAAATAAAATTATGTTTAAGTGGGCTTCCCATAAACTATCAAAGCTCCTTAGAATGGCCTGTCTGATTTTTCACTTCATTAATCATACCGTGGCAGGACACCTTTGGTGCCTACCACTTTAAGGGGCTTAGGCAGGCTGTGAAGCATCCAGCAGGTACAGTTAGGCCCAATTAGCTCATCACATGACCACAAGGGGGCCACCGGATTGGATGAGGGCTGGGCAGCCAGGGTATAAACCCAGACCCTAGTAGCTGAGCTGGCAGTTACATGTAGCTGCGGACTGCAGCTCCCAGAACATCCTGGAGGTTAGGGTAGGAATTATGGGGATGGAGGATTTTTCTGGTCCTGGGTAAGACCTGAAACTGCACCCTGCTGAGGTTGGATGGTGTGGTGGGGCTGCCTGTGGTGGAACAGTCTCCAGGAAATGCTACACCTGTGCCTCTTCAATGAAAGGTGAGGTTGGGGTCCCATATAGCCTCAGCCCCTGCTGCCTTGTGGGTACCCCATGGAGGG